TACTTCATAATGCACTCACTGTCATTCGAGACATCGGAAGTGGGGGACTTGTGTTGGGGATATTGATCCAGAGGCCCAATACCCGGATTAAAATGCCCAGGATACCCGGCCCAAACAACGGGTCCATTATCCTATGATGAGCAGGCCCAGTAAAGAATCCATACCGAACGGGGTTCGGTCCGAGTAAAGGCCGGCCCAGAAAGAAGAGATACCGAACGGAGTACGGACCATATATCATACTTGGGGCAATTTGACAGCGTCATCCGCATGGTCCAGCATCCCGTTCGAGCAACGGGCAACCAGTAATTGGTCAGGTGCAATTAATGCCAGATTGTGACATCGGCAAGTGGAAACATGGGTGATCAAGTCGGTGGAACAACGGCCAATCAGCATAGAGCAACCCATGCTCTCCATTAGTATAAATAGAAGGTTTAATATCATTGTAAGGGTTAGCATTTCAATACTCAAGCTCTAGAATAGCATCATTACTCTTTTCCTGTATTAATAGCACTATTCCGACCTACCGATCGGGAAGTTCTTTGTAATCAGACAGGTTAATTAATACAAGTGGGCTTTTGGGTATTAGCGGATTCATCTTTTATATTTTGTTATACACTTTGATTCTGATCCATTTCTGATATATCCAAAGTTCGTGTTGGGATTTCGGATCTACGGGACTTACCTTCAACAATTTTTTTTGAGGATGTTCCTCATAAAATCTAGTTCATGCCTACCAAATTTAAGCTAAAAATTCAATCGGAGAGCCAATCAAATAATATTTTGAATATAATTACGCCAAAATATACATATGAAACACAGTTATTTTCAAAATTTTATTTCTCCCTTCCCGATTGAACTTTTGGATGAAATTTGATGAACTAGAATCATGGCGAAAACGCTTAAAATTGATCAAGAAATTCTACCGGTAACCGTCTCAAAAGGCGGTGACCGGACGGAGCATCATGTGCATCTGACTGGACATGATCTTTTCCCATATATGTGTGTGTTCCTTATTTTTAGAAATCTTTTTACGTCTTAACAGTTAATCCTTATTATTTCTCAAACATTTTACTTCAATACGCTAATAAATTTGTTTTCTTATTTCATCAATAAGATAACTAATATATTTTGAATTTATGTTTTGCCCAATTTAGCAGATTCAATCAATTCAAGTTTATCATACTCAACATATCTACTTAATTCAACCAATGAGTGATATCAATTTATTCATGGTATAATTATTGGTGAAACTGTCTAAATAAATAATATTTTTGTCACTTCTATTTTTTGGCCTCGTTACTATATTCTATAATCATCTCTTCTCAAACCTCTATTATAGAGCAATTTTATCCACAACTACCATAGTTTTTATAATAATATATGCTAGCCACTAATCTGCTAACGCGTGGCAACCTATTGGTTTTTTATCATTGTCTAAACTAAATGTTTTTTTATTATCTTTCCCATTGTATCACTTAGGCAATGGGAATATAAAATATTTACAAAATTCAATTGATACTCCGTGTAAAACTACTTATAAAAGTTAGGATGTTTTTACTTGGACCGTAATTTGCTGGTCTGGTCTGGTCTGATCTGGTCTGAACTGGTCTGGTCTGTTTTCTTTGTATTTTTATAACTATCCAAGTCTGGTCTGGTCTGGTCTGGTCTGAACTGGTCTGGTCTGATCTGGTATGGTCTGGTCTGGTTTGGTCTGGGACGAATTACGGTCCAAGTAAAAACATTTTGAGCATTGCTTTATGTTTTCAAACTAAACACAAAAACTGATTATTAATGTTACACTGTTTCTCTTTTTTAATTGATGAAAATATGGTTCCAAATTCCAATGCAGATGGGAACAACTTAATGACATGCTTACATTAATTACTTTGTACCTTGCGTTTGAAATTTAAAATCATTCCAGTATCATATTTTGAATGATCTTTGATCAAATTTTAATGATTTTTTAAGAGCCCGTACACATTATTTATACACATTTTGTATACACCCGTTTAGTTGCCTATGCACGTAAGTAGCTTCTGAACACGCATTTTGTGTTCATGTGCAACTAGGAGGTGTGTACAAAAAAATGTGCAAGTACTACGTACAAACACTTATTTCCTTTTTTAAATATGCGTAATCTTGACTTCATATCAAAAACTAGTAAAAGAAACTTGAAATATATTTGGTTACTCTTATGTACTCCGTATTATTTTTTACTTACTCATCTTATATGTCAATTTCCTTTATCAGATATTTGATTTTTGATTTCACACGGTAAATTGTATCATCATCAAAATTTTCAATATCGGAGGTACTTTTATGACTCAAGAATGCTAGTATAACTTTTATCCAGCTGCAGACCCATAGATTTGTGAGAGCGGGACACACTAGACAATAAACTTAGTCTATAATAAAAACTCTGGGTCTGATCCGAAGCGTGAAGACTGATTTTTATCTTAAGTGTCACTAGTGAATTTCGGGTCCGAAGCAGGGGCACGTGCCCCACTAGCTCCCTTAGGTCCTCTAGTGCTTTTATCAATATAATTTGAATTTACTTCTATATTCATTGCAAATGATATAGTCAATTCCAGTGTTAGTCCATATTGGAAACTATTTAACCAATTTTAATATTACTCCATATTGGACAGGAAGTACGGTGTAATATAAATCTTTATGTAAAAGTGAGTTTTTCTTTTGTAAAAACCTAATAGAAAAAAAAATACGAGTATTAGATTCATCACCTGACCTGTGAGGGACAACACAGAAAACAATGTAGGGTGTTATGTTCTTCACCCTTCTTTGAGGTGGCCAAAATTGGTCTCTCCATTCTATCCACACCTAATATAGAAGAAGCATTTATTTATTAGAAATATCTCAAATCCTTGGCCTCCTCTTCCTCTTCTTTCTTCTTCTTCATAGTTATCCATCCCTACCCTTAGCTTAGCTCTGAACCAACCAAACGTACAAAGAAAAGATGATGATGACGACAGTCAATAGCGCTACTGGCTGTGGAGGAAGCATGAGCTGTGCGTGACCTGACTGAGTGTATGTACAACCGCGGGGCCCACCACCCATGTGCCTTCCTCCTGTCTCCACCAGCTCCTGCCTCTCAATCATTAGAACCCTGTTCCCCCTTCTTTCTCTCCCTCCCCTCCCCCATTTCTCCCCCTCCCCCATTCCTTGTTTTCTCCGGCATTGATTCCGGTTCACTTGCTGCGACCTTTGTTTGATTGTCTATTCTTCTTCTCCTCGATCAGATATGTCGACCTCGGTGGACGGAAACGGAGCGGTTATCGACCCGCAGCAGCTCACCTCAGGTATCAACGCCTCCAATGGGGCTATAGTCGTGAAGAAGCCTCCGGCCAAGGACCGCCACAGCAAGGTCGACGGCCGCGGGAGGCGCATACGCATGCCTATCGTCTGCGCTGCCAGAGTGTTCCAGCTCACGAGGGAGCTCGGCCACAAGTCCGACGGTCAGACCATCGAGTGGCTTCTCCGACAGGCCGAGCCGTCTATTATAGCCGCTACCGGAACCGGAACTATCCCCGCTAGCTTCTCTACGATTTCGCCGCCCGCGAGGAGCTCCTCGTCGTCTATGGGAGCGTCTTTATTCGCGTCGCTCGATCACAAGCCGATGGCTCCCGCGCCGCCGTTCCTTCTCGGGAAGAGGCTGCGGAGTGAGGAGGAGGAGGATAGTCTGGATGACCACAACGGAGGCGGGAACAAGCAACAGGATGTCGTTGTCGGTCCTACTGCCGGATTCTGGGCCGTTCCTGGCAGGCCGGACTTCGGCCAGGTTTGGAGCTTCGCGGCGGCTCCTCCTCCTCACGAGATGGTGGTGCCGACTCAGGCGGCGGCCGTATTGAATTCGCAGACTTCTCGGTTTTTCCAGCAGCAGTTGGGCGAAGCGTCGGCGGCTAGGGTTGGGAATTACTTGCCAATCGCACAAGGACACCTCAATTTGCTAGCTTCCCTTTCTGGCCGAAGGGACGACGACGGCCGTTGATACTTCTTCTTCTTCTTCAGATGATACTCGTATTATTAATACTATTATTATCACCATCATCATTATATTGTTTTGTTTTTGTGAACCTGACTATATATATTTCTGCCTTTGCTGCTATTGTATTGTTTGCTCTTGTTCTTCTTCTTCTGTAGATGAAAAACTATTAGAGTTTTAGATTTAGGTCTGTATTGAGTGATTAATAACTAGGGTTTTTGTGAATTGTTGTTAAAGATCCAGGGGTGATTTGCTTATTTGCATTGCTTAATGTCTCAATGTTACAGCCTAGACAAGAATCCTGTGATCCATTTTGTGTTGTAATGGTGGCTGGGAAGCTCCACCACCTACCTGCAGAATGATCAATAATAAAAGTATTGTTTGCTTCACTCAATGACATATTTACATACACACTACTGAACTACTAGTTTCTTTTTAAGGTCTTGCAAAGGAAGGAAATATGGAAGCAATAACCATTGAGGTTGAGTCAACCAAATTCTGTAATTTGTCAAAGACTTGATGTCATACACCTATGCACATTTTGAGGAATATTTTGAAATCAAGTTCTCATTACTGTTTTTGATAATAAAAAATTAAGTTCACATTATCATCAAAGTCAAATTTTTGATAAGAAAAAGGCATTAATGCTCCTACTTTATGAACATTAAACATTAAGTAGAGCCAAAGTTGGAAATAGAGCCAAACAAAAAGCGGCTAACTTGAATAAGTGTACTACAGAAATTTGAAAATTAATTGTCGGATGGAGGGCTGTTTGTTTTAGGTCCATTTGGTAGACATAATCAGCAGCTGATAATGCTTATCAACGAGATAATTAGAATTTTTTGGCTTATGCACAGCAAAGTGCGCACTAAAACCTAATTCTACTCGCAAAGGCACTCCAAAATGTTCATATCCATGAGGCTGTGTGGCGTGTCTCTTTGAACATAAAATAATGTTGATATAGATCGTTGTGTAAACGTGTAAACCGTGATATACAAAAGTATAATTACTATCTAATAAGAACAAATCAAATAATTAGAGTTTGACTTGCTTATTCTATAAACACTGCCAAATTTTCATGTGGATCTTTGACTTTTGATTTAAAAGTTCACATTTGATTTTCTAATGGTTAAGTAACTTAAGTTAATGGTGTTTGGACATTCCAAATTTTATACAATAGGATTACTTATTTAATGGTGTTTAGAGATACAAAACTCTTACAAAAAGTCTTACAAAAGGGGTATGTGGCATCATGACATTATTTAACACATCATATCACATTTACAGTAGGATTACTTATTTAATGGTGTTTAGAGATACAAAAACTCTTACAAAAAGTCTTACAAAAGGGGTATGTGGCATCATGACTTTTTCGTTGGCCCGTTTCATATAGACCGAGCAGTTCTTTAAAGTTTGAAGTAAGAGCATAGATCTCTCATGGCGCAACAACTCATCTAGACTCTAGACCATCCATGGAGGGCAACCCCAAAACTATTTCGACGTACCATCACACAAGCTGGTCGATGCAACTATTTAAAACTACCGGACTTGATAGTTAATACTTAATACATTATAATCACAACTGATCAACTTAATTTTTAACCGTGAAGACAATTTATTCTTACAAAAGTTTACATTGGCAGGGAATTAGTAACAGAGGAGGTTTCACGATGAAGAGGTGATACAAGAATGTGGTTCCCTCTAAATAAACATATAAAGCTCTCTAACAAAAGCGTTATCATTGCCTCAATGAAAAGAGATATAGAAAAGAAGGGCTCAGTAGAGAAAATCAGAGTTTCTGGAAAACCCTCTCAGCAGCTGCTATTGTTTGTTGAATATCTTCAGAGGTATGTGCTAAGCTGGTAAATCCAGCTTCAAATTGGGAAGGTGCAAAATAGACACCCTCCTCTAGCATCCCTCTATAGAATCTTGCAAACTTTGCAGTGTCACTCTTTTTTGCATCATCAAAGTTGTAAACTGGACCATCTGTGAAAAAGAAACCAAACATACCACTGATGTACCCACCACAGATTGCATGACCAGCATTCCTTCCAGCCGTCAAAATCCCCTCAAGTAGCTCACCTGTGACGCTTTTCAAGTATTCGTAGCTTCCTGGCACCTTTAACCGCTTTAGTGTGTGGATTCCTGCCGTCATTGCCAGTGGGTTTCCACTCAAGGTCCCAGCCTGATACATAGGTCCGGCAGGTGCCACCATCTCCATAATCTCCCTCCTTCCACCATATGCCCCTACAGGGAGGCCACCGCCAATGATCTTGCCAAGTGTTGTCAAATCAGGAGTAATGCCGAAGTACTCCTGGGCTCCACCGTATGACAAGCGGAACCCGGTCATAACTTCATCAAATATAAGGAGGGCACCGTTGTCTTTCGACAAACTGCGCAATGCGTTGAGGAAATCGGGCTTGGGCTGAATGAAACCAGAATTTCCAACTACGGGCTCCAGGATAACGGCTGCAATTTCCCCTTTGTTGGCCTGAAAGAGGCTTTCTACAGCTGAAATATCATTATATGGGGCAGTGAGTGTTTCAGAAGTGGCTGCTTTGGGAACTCCAGGGGAGTCAGGAAGCCCTAAGGTGGCAACCCCACTGCCTGCTTTAACAAGAAATGGATCCGCATGCCCATGGTAACACCCCTCAAATTTGATTAGCTTTTCTCGCCCAGTGAAAGCACGAGCAAGTCTCAGCACACCCATGCAAGCCTCTGTCCCTGAGTTAACAAATCGAACCATTTCTATGCATGGAACAGCATCAATGACCATCTCCGCCAATGTGTTCTCGAGAAGACAGGGAGCACCAAAGCTTGTTCCCTTCCTCATTGTTTTACCCAATGCTGCCAGTACCTTAAAGTAAAAAGTGTAATTAAAGTATTACCATGTTTAAAATATATGGAGAATAGATCACCTTTGTGTGTGTGGAAGAGCATTTAGTGACAATATAGTAGGCAACTTTATTGTGACTATCCCCATATGAAGATTTTAATAGTAGGCAACTTTACTGTGACTATCCCCACATGTAGAAATACTAAAACAACTACTCCCTTCGTCCCAATTTGATTTGCAAAAGTTGACTGACACAAGTTGTAATTTACTATTTTGCACTTTATCCCATTAAGTAGAGAGTCTAGAGACATTTAAGTAAATGGAAAAAGGGTAAAAGTAAGGGTAAGTTTGTTGTTTTATTCATCTTTCCATACCTAAAATAGAAAGTGAAAAATCATTTTGGGACAACCAAAATAGGAAAATTTGCAAATTAAATCGGGATGGAGGGAGTACTAGTTATGTCTCGCTTCTCCTTTCTTTTACAAAAGAAATTACTCGAGTAAAGCATAAATTATGTCCACATATAAGACCATTGTTATATCTGAATGTTTCAACTTTCAAGTATGCATTCCATAATGACTGACCTGCTGAAAACATCTCATAAAAAAGATGGCAAATATTTTACAAGCAGCAAAATAAAAGCAGAAAAGACACTACATATATTTAGCTGTCCATAGTGTTAAAACAAAACCCCTTTTGAGTATTAATGATTTGGTATCGGTCACAATGCATGTTAGTAGAACTGACCTCATCATCTGCATGGCCAATGATCGCTGGTCCCCAAGAACCTACATAGTCAATATATTTATTTCCATCTATGTCCCACATATACGAGCCCTTCACAGAATCAATCAAAATAGGCTGCCCACCAACAGATTTGAAAGCACGTACAGGCGAATTTACACCTCCGGGCATCAACTCCTGCCACATTCAATAGGTGATATGAAAAGAAGAGAGGCGGTTATTGCTTTATATTAGTCACTCACATTTTGTTTATTCTGAAAACATGTAAAACAGATGGTCTGACATCTCTAGCCATCAGGGTTCAGGTATATGAATGGTATGATTCATGCTGTCATCCACAATCATGCATATACAAGTTAATTATCCTATTCAAGTTATAAGATATTCATTATTATCATCATTACCCCAGTGCTGCAAAGGCTCCCACCTACGGTGGGCTAAGGGGGGTTGGATGTACGCAACCTTACCCTTGTATTAAAACACAGAGACTGTTTCCGAATGACCTGTGGTGAAAATCGCGTCAAAAATTGCATGGACTGACTACTGCTTCATAACAAAGAAGTGCAAACAGTTTTGTGAGTCATTTTGCTTCATAACAAAATTCTGAGTCTTTGGCTCCATTGCAAATGATGGAAGGAAGTAATAAGATATTCAGCTTAATTTTTTATATGTTCTTGAAGACACATAGGAGTGCCATGTTAACACAACTTTGATTGCTCCTGAATCCAGTCAATGACTAAGCTGAAAATGTAGCAATCACTTCCCATTCCTTTGTCAAGACATAGTGGTTAATGGGCATATATTTTGCCCATATAGTAAAAAAAACTCAACACTAGTTATAACTTATAAACAACCGAACCTGAACCAACAATTATATATTCAAACTCAACTGTTTAAAACGCAATGATAAGAATTTATGGAAATATTAGCAGACGGCAGTTTACTAACGTATTGTTTTTGTTCATCTCATTTAATTATAAGGTTGTGCCTTTTCTAATTCTTATTTTAATTATAAGGTCGTGCTTTTTACATATTCTTATTTAATCAGATTAAACCAGTCTAGACAAGAAAGATTCAGGACAAACAATAAAGCTTCGAATTAGAAGAGATTATGTGTTATATTTCACACAAGAAAATTAGATAAGGTTAAGAACATTCATATTAATTGAGAGATTCTCACATCAGAGTTGATATCTAAAACTCAGACCAATCACATTCTTTCAGACAAAAAGAACAAGTGCTAGGATGACAAATACCAAACCAGTGCACTTGATGTTTCATAGCACACCCCACGTTTGTTTTTGAAAAATTACTTACTTATCTCCAAATATACCCTTCCCCAATTATACTACTCCGTACAATTCTTTCTTATTCTTTTCAAAAAGCATGCTAAAGTCAAGTAGGAGTAACTCTCAGGGTTGGGTTACAAGATTATGTTGGAAATCTTCCAGGTAAAGAGAGGCCTGATTATGATGCTCAATGGTCATATATGGGCAAAGAGTTTGCATGTTTTTATGCATCCTACTACTATCCTAGCGGCCTAGCCACCTACTAATCCCTACTTTAGAAAACAAAATATAGCTATGGCCTATGGGAGAACAGGAGAAGAGCGTGAGACTGTGGGTGTGGGTGATGAAAGAAAGAACAATGAGCATGGTCTTTTCTTTAGTAACGTTTTAATAGCACCATTCTGAAAAAATCCCAAAAATCCCCAATTTTTTAAGCAATAAGCTAAGATTCTCAGCTTCGCTCTAATAATCATAAAAAACATAAACAACGTTCTTCAATTAGCTAAGCAAATACAGTGAATCATCTAAGGCATTTCAATCTGAATCCAGGAGACTATATAATTTATGAAGTAGTCGAAGTACTAAAATTACCTTTGCTTTATTGAAAGCTTCTTCAGATTTCTGCAGTGTATAACTTTTCTGCTTCTCATGAACTGATGACACCGCCATTCTGGTGGCGGCGGGTGGCAAACAAGAGGAAAACCGACGACCACGGCAAGATGGTGGCGCCACCAAAGTCGACATACGGTTGAGGGTCAAATTCGATGTCCAGGGTAGCCCCAATCCGGTTGAAGCAGCCATAGCTCTACAAGCCTTACTGCCTTAGTCCTAGAATTTACTTTTTCTTGAAAGAACAGTTGAGCGCTCCCAAAGTTCTTAACGTGGATTTGTTTAAAGATCAGACAATACCCAGGAAAGGTTTCAAATATGCACACCGAGGTACTTGGTATAATAAGTTTTGCTCACAAGTAGCCAGGTGGGCTTCAAAGAATTTGCAGGCATTATCCCAAGACCAAGTGCACATTTGATGACTTTTCTTTTATGTGAGATTCGTTAATTTTGACTCATAGTAATAGGCAGAAGACATCAAGAAAGAAATGATTTTAAAAGACATGGAAAATCTTGAAATGAAATAATTTTGAAAGTGCAAATTATATTGTGAGATCGTCATAAAAACTATGTAGTTTTATAATGCGTATTAAAACAAATGGTCCACGCCCCTATTTTTCACCAATCACTGGTTCATCTTTTTCACCGATCTATATTGTCATCTCTTTTCTCAATTACTTTGATTTTTTTTTGCTTTTCACCCTCAAATAGTTCTTCTCTTTCATCAAAATATTACGAATCTAACCATGATTTAGTTCTTCTTTACGTTCAAATTAAGTTACCAATAAATATGCGTACCTTGCCTTCATGTTACCAACATTTACACATATCTACATTTAAAAGTTCATACTCTGTACATGATATGTATAATCGTCACTTTTAATATTACCTTATTAAAGTCAACAATTGACGACACCAAAACGTACTTGTTAATGTATTCAGGGGCGAAACCAGGGAGTCATAGTGGTCAGCCGACCCCCTGAAAGTTTGAGAATATAGAACACTGAAATACTTTCGATTTTGATATATTATATCTCATGTAACTCATTACGAGTAAAAAGTTAAGACTCCTGAAAAATCAACACTATTTAAATTTGAAATGAGTAAAATTTGATATGTAATATTAATTATATTTTCAAAGTTTAAAAATAACGTTGAATTCATCCATTACTTACATGAAATATGTGATGTATATGAAATATATGTCAAATCTATGACTTTATTATTCTCATTTAAACTACCATTATCTAAGCTACACATAAAATTTTAACTCACATATAGTTCAAAAACAATCCGTCTATTTTTGTCACGCCCCAAATCGCATCCGGACCATGTAGACAACCGCCGTACAACCCGATAAGAACAACAACAGTTCATCCCTATCGAATTGTACAAGGCGTCCGATTCGTTCTATTGCCAAACCGATTAGTAAACACATACAATCAACATCAATATCATAATCAAACAAATGCGGAAAGAATAATATGTTTGATACTTGGCCACACGTGTCATCAACGCTCGATCGAGTACACACTTCGAAGCTCAAGTTTTACACATACCCGATCGAGTATATAGCCATACCCGATCGGGTATTGCTCGAAGTGTCAAAAATGAAAGATCCTGCCATGCTTGCCCGAACGAGTACACACTTCAAAATCGAAGCATGGCCTATACCCGGTCGGGTCTATATGGATACCCGATCGGGTCCTTCATATTTTTTTGAAGATTTTTAATTCAAATACATGAACGAAATGCAAGTGTAATCAAGAGATTACCTGCAATGGAGTCCGGGTTGGCCCGAGCATCAGCCTCGGTCATAACATATACCCGTGCCTAGGTCCTCCCTTGGTTAACGGATGCGGCGTTGCTAGCCGTGGGTCCGCCCCTTCCGGTGCCGCCCTGAGACGGCCCCGCACGTCCCCTACTAGTCGTAGGTCCTCCTCCGTTCAGCATTGGACAAGAGGGTTTGAGATGGCTCGTGCTACTGCATTTGAAGCACCGGGGTGGTTCATTTCACCTCCCCCCGTGGTTCTTACCGCAGTTTGCGCACCTTGGTGGCCCCACACCCCCTAGTTTGGGCCCTTGCCCTACTGAGCCCTTATACCTTTTCGGTGGTGGTGCCGGCGCCCTGAATGTATTGCCACCTCCGATGTGATGCTTCCGAGAGTGGTCTTGGGGTCCAGAGTTTCCCCATCTCCTCTTCTTCGCCTCCTCGGCGTCTTTCGCCTTCCTTTCATTCCATTGGGTTTCCCCAAGGAGCCCTTGATCGACAACTTGGCTGAATGTCATGTTATGTTTATAAGTAGCCCGGTCGCGGATGTCCAACTGTAGAGCATCCCAAAAATGATCGGTCATTCAATTCTCATCCAAAGAGTACTCTGGTATGAATCGTACCAAGTCTCGGAACCTCTGTTCCAATTGCCTCACCGAGCAGCCATCCTCCTGTTTCAGATTTGTGTACTCTCTCCTCTTGAGATTGACTTCAAAATTTGAGTAGTACTGATTATAGAACTCCACTTCGAATTTCTCCCAAGTGGCCTCACCGTGGAACTTTCCTTCCACGCCTTCCCATCATACAGCAGCTACCCCATCCAGTAGCCTGATGGCAATCCTCAACTTCACGTCGAGCCCAATTTGCATATCCCTAGAAGCATCATTCAACTTCTTAATCCAATCGGCGGCCTCAGAGATGTCGCCCTTGTCATCAAACGATTTGCACCCCAAGGCCCTAGCCTCCTTGAGGTACTTGGAGATACGTACCATCGTGTCTCATCGAAATGCTCCAGATGGAGCATTAGAAGCTCCTCGGCTTCCTTGTCCCATGGCCTACCTAGCTTGGCGCCGCTGTTCTCTCCTTGCCTTGTTCTCGAGGTACCATTCTAGTACCTCTCTCATACGATCATAATGAGGATCGTCATCCTCATCAAAGTCCTCCCCGTTGTACGGGGTCTCCTCTTGCTCCGTGCTCGGAGCATATGTGAAATCGTCCAGTTCGGTGGCCCAAGACGGGTGCACAGAACCGACACGCGTGCTACTTGCCGTATGCGTTGTAGAACGCCCACGACCCCTGCCTCGGCCTCCTCCTCGGCCTTGGCCCCGGCCTCTACCCCTAGAGGTCCGTGATTCAGCCCGTGTATCGTGCCCGGTGGCCCCCGATGCACGACCCGTTGGGTTCCTCCTAGTAATCCCGCGTCCACCCTCCATTTCTGAAAGAAATAAGGAATGAGTCATTAGACTCGTTTCAATGTCAATTGACGGATTAGTACAAAAGACACCACTTGGTCCAACATTTTGGCCAACAAACTGTTAAGGGTACCGTCTTAACAATAAGAGGTCAATAACTTGGTTTCCAACGGTTCCTTAGGTACAAAAACTTTTTGCTCATGGTTTTGTTCAAAACTTTTCGATGGTAAGATATTGAGAGGTTAATCATATAGTTTAGAAATCGATGGCTCTGATACCACTTAATTGTCACGCCCCAGACCGCATCCGGGCCACGTAGACAACCGCCGTACAACCCGATAAGAACAACAACAGTTCATCCCCATCGAATTGTACAAGGCGTCCGATTCGTTCTATTGCCAAACCGATTAGTAAACACATACAATCAACATCAGTATCATAATCAAACAAATGCGGAAAGAATAATGTTTGATACTTGGCCACACGTGGCAAACACAGGCACGCAGGCCCCCAACTGTTTTAAAGAAAAACAATGTTCGAAAATCCATGAGCAGTTTATAAATTTGAGATACGAATGGAAGCACGAACCACGCCTTCCTTCTTGATCAATCACCCTATGCAAAGGTACATGTAGTAGAACTCTAGCCTTAACCTGAAAAATGTGAGGGACCCCCGGAGGGGTCAGTACTCCATAGAAGTACTAGTGACAAGCACGTTATATGAAGAATAACTAATGTTTCAGACACGAGACCCAAAAATAGGGTGATACATATATAAATATGTGACTCGTCCACCCGATGATACATACTGTATATATATTTGTAAAATACTCAATCCGTAGGTCATTTCATTTAAAGAGTCTTTTAGAGATAAAGTTCTTACCTGACTTTTCTCACTCCATTCCCGAATGCCTAGCTCACAAGCTACATCCTACATTCATAATATCCTACCGAGTTTTGGGAGCATTTAGCATCCCGGGGATACTCAAACCCAACCAAGTTTCAGGATCATTTACCGTCCCGGGGATACTCAACCCCAGCCGAGTTTCAGGATCATTTACAGTCCCGGGGATACTCAACCCCAACCGAGTTTCAGGATCATTTACAGTCCCGGGGATACTCAACCCCAACCGAGTTTCAGGATCATTTACAGTCCTGGGGATACTCAACCCCAACCGAGTTTCAGGATCATTTACCGTCCCGGGGATACTCAACCCCAACCGAGTTTCAGGATCATTTACCGTCCCGGGGATACTCAACCCTGTTAGTCCCAAAATACTAACAATCATACAACCATAGCAGTGATAAAGAAGCAGATAGAAAGAAATCGACAAGATTGAACGCGAATCTGGTATACCGTATGAACCTGCCGCTACTCTCCCTGGAGAAGGAGAGCAGCGGCAACCCTAATTTCTCTCTATCTCGCCTCTGCGTCTCTAAGCCTATTTCGATTAGTTTTGGTTCCCGTAAGTTAGCCTCCTTTTATAGGAGAAGTTGGCTAACTTACGGGTTACAAGGAAGCCCACGGGCTGATACACATTTGTGGCCCGTATTACACATTTAATTAATAACTACACAAATACAAAGATAACTAACTAGATTGAACACCATAAAATATTCCCAACAATCTCCCCCTTGGTGATCAATCGTGTTGAATCAGCATTGCAGCGCATATATCTTTGTCTTTGTTGTTATTGAGCTTCCTTTGTCTTTGAACTTGACTTCTGAGGAAGGCTATTTGAAGAAATCCTTGCAATCTCCCCTTTGATGTCTTCTTGACAATTTGATCTTTGATGTCGGCGGTTGAGGGACCTTCAGTATCTTGCATGTAGTCCTTGCCTTCCAGAAGTTGCTCTTGATCAGCTTGGATGAAGTCTGGTGACGCCTCTAGAATGAATATTTGCTGGAGAATAGGAGACGCCCATGGAATTCATCTTCAGGACACGAGTATTTGACCTCTGTCTCCTCCACGATGTAGTCTTTTTGACTATTTGGAATGAATGCATTTGAGGAGAACTTGTCGGTGGCACAGCGGAACATAATGATGGTTGATTTGTGAGTGTAGCTGACCATTTGATATGAGTTGCTGAGATAGTAGAGAGGGTGTTGAATTTTGTGATGGAGGAGTGAAGTGTCCCAGAATGATTTGTTCAGTGTTAACAGCATGTGGACCACTCTCCCCCTCATGACGATCCGATGAATCGGGACGTCATGCTTTTATTCTTTTATTCTGCGAAATAAAAACAGGAAATACAAGCAGAATCTAAAGAAGATAACGTAGCCTCCCCAGGGTCGTGAAGACGCCCGTTATCATCACTATAGAGATAAACTCTTTAGCAATGGCCTGAAAATG